CCCACTCAGGGTAACTCGTGTTTAAGAAAATAAAAACCAACATTCTTCAGAAGATTATATAACAAGAGCCAAAGTATACGCAACATAGTGGTCAAAATGTCCAGAATACAACCCGAAAATACTTGACATGCCCCAAAACAAAAACAGGAAAATGTGACCTATTCTCAAGGTAAAAGACAATTAACAGGTGTCAACCCTGAGATAAGCCAGATTTGGGGAATTACCAATGACTTGGAAATACCTGTTGCAGCTGTACTCCATGAGATAAAGGTAAAATGAGTAGAAAGAGTAACTTTCCAAAGAGAAATAGAAACTACAAAAGAGAACTGAATGGAAATTCTGAACCAAGAAAATATGAAATCTGGAATAAAAAGTTCCCTGGATGGGATCAATAGCAGAAAGGAGATGATAGAGGAAAAAGTCAGTGAACCTGGAGTTAGATCAACAGAATTATGTAACCTGAAGAAAAGAAAGGAAGGTTTGGGGAAAAAAATTAACAGAGCTTCAGTGGCCTATCAGACAGTTTCAAAGGTCTAGTATTTCCATTAGTGAAGTATCAAGGAGAGGAGAAAGGGATTAGTGCAGAAAAACTATTTGAGGAAATAATGGCTAAAAACTTTCCAACTTTGGCAGAATACATAACTACAGATTCTAACTGTTCAATGAACCCCAAATTAGAGTTTAAACTCAAAAAAACCAATGTGATTTATTTCCTGCAGACTTTTTCTTAGTAACTCATTCAAGTTTCTCATAAACATCCCCATTCCTAAGTTATTCATTCATTTTTTGCCTTCAGTGAACAAATACATACTTTCATTTAATTGCAAACATTGCTGATTATAGTAAGCACTTTTACAGTATATAACATTTAAAATGCTGCCAATTAATTTTATGACACCACCGTAGAAGTCTTTCCTGATTTTATAGATGTGGAAATGTTAAAAAAAAAAAAAAAAAAAAGAAAGTGTACCTTAGAATAAACAGAAAACACACATACAGTGTTAGGCAGCCACTGAGTACTAGAAAGATAGTGTAGTAAACAGAGTAGACACAGGCACTAGTCCCGATACCTAATATACCTCCTTCAACACCGCTCATTGCTCTTTCTTCCTAGTCCAGCAAGAAAAAATATGCATTTAGAAAAATTCATTTATTCTATATTGATAAAACTCTTATGCAAAATTCTACTTCTCTCTCGCCCCCTACTTTAAAGCCTTCCCTCTCAGCAAGACACAGCCTAATAACAACTCAATTTCCACCCTAATCATTCTTATTCTGTCAGACTCTATTTATTCTCTATTTTTTTCTCAAAGGGTGACAAGCTAGAAACTTTTTCATTTTAAATTTTTAAATTTTTTATTTTTTGAGTTGGAGTCTCACTTGGTTGCCCAGACTGGAGTGCTGCAGTGGCTGCTCCCAGTCACCGCATCCTCGACCTGCTGGGCTCCGGCGATCCTTCCGCCTCAGCCTTCCAAGTAGCCGGAACTACAGGCGCACGCTACCATGCCCAGCTGATTTTTTATTTATTGTGGAGATGAGGTCTCACCAAGTTGCCCAGGCGGGTCTTGAACCGCGGGCTCAGGCAATCTACTCACCTCGGCCTCCCGAGGTGCTGGGATTACAGGCTGAGCCACCGAGTCCAGCCTCATTTTTAATTTAAGTCTGTTTTTCTCCCCAAAATAAAACTCCTTGCAAAATTCTACCTACGTTTGCAAACTACTCAAACTGATTTCCTTACTTTAATTAAAAATTACTTTATTTATTTTTGTCCTAATCTGGGGCAATTTTAGGTATCTTTAGCATCTATTTGATTCTCAAGAGAATGCAGTGAAAATTAAGTTTATTTAAATAAAGTAGGGAGGTTCCAAGGTTTGTAAAAAGTTGCATCAGTCATTAAGTGACAGCCAAGAAAGTGGTTCTCTACATAGTTACCTGACCCCTTAGTCCTGCTTTTGACATAAAACATAAGCTGTACAAGCCTGGGTCTGCATCTCAAATGAGATCTTACTCACAGATATGATGCCTTTGGGGAAAAAAATAAATCTTCCTTCCACCACACTTAATAGTCTAAAGTCCTCATTCCTTCCTTTTTCTAGATGTAAACTTTTTATTTTAAAGACACCAGACTTTAACTCCTGTATTTCAAGTGCACACTGCTGACTCAGCTATTGTGCCTCATAGAGTATTCCTCCTACGACGGCTGGCCCCTGATGTGTCTGCAGTGGGCAGACGGCTGGTACCAGCTCTAGGGCTAGTCCTGACTAAATGCCACTTTGGATACCCCACCCTCAACTCTAATTCACTAGTCTATTCTTTCATTCACAGAGAAGAGGGTTTTTAAAAAAATATAATATTGGTTAACTAAAAAAAACAGACTTAACACAGTCAAATTTGGACTTCAAACTGACCAGAGCCCTTTGACATTGAGCACAGAGCTCCTCTTCTGGCAGGGGTAATGTAATCAGGCAGCCCTGTGCCAGAGGAGAAAGTCAGCTTCCCTGAGTATATACAGTCATTCCACAGTATCTGCAGGGGGTTGGATCCAGGAACCCCCACGGACACCAAAATGCATCAGTGCTCAAGTCCCATTTTGTGTATAAAATTGTGTTTTGTATATAAAAATAGCATTTTGGGCATAAAGTCCCATTTTGTGTATAAAGTGTTGGCATGTAACCTACACACATCCTCCCATATAAATCTCCTCTTGATTACTTACAATACCTAATACAATGCCCACACATACTTAATTCGCATGGATTCAATGTAGTACTTGGCGTGTCACAAATTCCTGTTTTGCTTTTTGAAACTTTGTATATCTTTTTTTTTTTGAAAATGTTTTATCCAAGGTTGGTTGAATCCATGGACACAGAGCCTGCAGATACAGAGGGCTAACTATATAGGTCTCCCCTAACTGGAGTATGGTGTGCAGCTGACAATGGTCAGGACAGTCTGGCTTCAACTGTTCTTCGAGAACCAAGTGGGCAAAGTTATGCAGAAAGAAGAGGTTTCTTCTCTGCAGCACCCTGTGAGCCTAGCTGTGGTTGAATACCTAAATGCTCACACTCCAAAAAAACACACTCTACAATTCCAAAGAGTCCTCTACACTGGCTGTCTTTGAAAACAAGTAGCTCCTAGGCCCTAAGAGATACTCTTGGAGCCTTTGTATAGCTCAGCCTGGAAACTAACACGTGGAGTAAAACTACAAACTGATTTTTTTCACTTGCTGTGCCACATGTAGTGTCACATCAGATCTAGTTTCTAGTTTCTTTTTTTTTTTTTGAGTTGGAGTCTCACTCTAGCCCAGACTGGAGTGCAGTGGCCACTCCCGGCCACCACAGCCTCGACCTGCTGGGATCCGGCGATCCTTCCACCTCAGCCTTCCGAGTAGCTGGAATTACAGGCGCGCACTACCACACCCGACTAATTTTTTGATGTTATTGTAGAGATGAGGTCTCGCCTGCCCAGGCGGGTCTCGAACCCGTGGTCTCAGGCAATCCACTCACCTCAGCCTCCCAAAGGCGCGGGATTACAGGGTGAGCCACCGAGCCCGGCTCTTGTTTTTTCTTAAGTTGAGATCTCACTCTGTTGCCCAAGCTGGAGTGCAGTGGTATGACCACGGCTCAACACAGCTTTGACATCCTGGGCTCAGGTGATCCTTTTACCTCAGCCTCCTGAGCAGCTGGGACTACAGGTACATGCCACCACACCTGGCTGATTTTGTGATTTTTTTTTTTTGTAGAGACAGAGTCTTGCTGTGTTGCCCAGGTTGGTCTCACCTGGGTTCAAGCAGTCCTCCTGCCTTGGCCTCCCAAAGTGCTAGGAATACAGGTGTGAGCTGCCGCACCCAGCCTCAGACCTAGTTTCTTAAGAGAACTAGACTAAGTACATACCTAAACATAAACTGAATAGTTCAATTCTCAAGTAGCAGAACATCAGTCATTTTAGGAGGCCTTGAGGAAAAATCGAGTGTTTTTTCCCAACAAAGCCTATGTACATCATCTTTTTATTCTAAGTGGGGGGTGGGTAGCCACGGGTGAAGGTCAGGAGTTGAAAATATTATTTGACAAAATAATTATTTTTGCAAGCTGCTGCATTGGTGGGACAGAGGTCTGGGATCTGGCACTGAGGAGCACCCACCTCAGGATCTGACACTCGCCTCCAAGCAGCCTGCCACCTGCAGCCCGGGGCTGGGCCCAGGAGAGGGGGAGCCAGCAGACCCTGGCCTTCAGCCATGCTACCTCTCTTTGGGGCACTGGATCAGACACAGCAGATCACCAGCCAAAAAAAAAAAAAAAGAACCAAAAGAAAGACAAGGGGAGAGGAGGCAGGAAGGGGGGTAAAGACCTAAAATTTGGACTCAGCGAGTCTTTTCAAACACTTTAATCCTTTCGTGCTGATGGGTCCTGGAGCGTCCAGGGCTGGCGCTGGACCCTATGCCGGGAAAATCCGACTCCCTAAGCCAACACGTTAAAGAGAAGACTGCTAATCAGCTAAATAGAAACTGGAATCTGTTCACATGAAGTCTTTTTTTTCCTCCCTCACCAGAGGGACACCATAGTGTTCTGAAATACACTCTTGACATCACTTGGCAGGCAAGCCTATTTTGTTGAACATGATTCATCCCTTAGGTTATTGTTTTTAATATTAGAAAGTGAGCTTTTAAGTGCCAAACAAATTTTGCAGCAGGGGAACAAAAGATAGTCCAAGTGGTCTCCCTGGACCTTCTACCAACTGCGTCCACCAAATGGCTTAAAAGAAAACCTTCCCGTGGAGCTTCAGAAATGAAGCAGAGACATAGCTATATCCAACAATTACCTAATACATGATTTTGTTCTCCAGGTCCCGAGTACTGACGGGACCTGCGCAGAACTCAGGTGGGAAGACCGTGGAGTGAGACCTGAGGAGTGGGAGCCATGGAGAAAGTCAGCCGGCCAGGGGGACCTGGTGGCCTGGTAGACGCTGCAGGGCTACTGAGTGCTGTCTTTTCTACTCAGACATACCTCCTGTCCCTGTTGCCGCTGACCATGAGGTTGGGAGGGCTGTCCCTGAGGTTGACGCATGTGAAGTCACCAAGAGCATTCCCCAGCTTCGAGAGGCAGCGTTCTGCTTCCAGGCTGTACACCAGGATCTGACAGACGAAGAAAAATATGTGGGTGCACAATTCCATACACCAGGCCAACATCAGACACTTTTCATTTCATTTTCCAGGGCATGGTTGCTACCGCTTAGCATCTGTTAAATGATGTGCTGCTTAATTTCCTGACCTCCAGGTCACTGACAGTACAGGGATATGGCTATTAAAATGACAAAAGGAAAGGCAAAAAAAAAAAAAAAAGAGAGAGAGAGAAGGAATCCAAAGAATTCCTCAGGCCAAGGTATAAACAAACTCATAGGACACAAAGGAAAATGCCAAATGAGGGAAATCAGATATCCTATTTTCTTAACAAAGAAAAAGAGGTATGGAAACTAAGAGGTCACAGACTGCTTCTGATTTGGAATTAATAGGAAAGCTAACAAGGGATCAGGAAACTTGCAGGTGAGTCAGCATGGGTTCTCTGTATTTCTACCACAGACGGTAAAGAACAGTACAAGTTTCCTGGAAAATGAGACTTACATGGTTAGCCACTAGATGATTTGAGAGACAAACTCTTATTTCCAGACATTTCTCTCTTCAGTTGCTCTCTATTTACTAATTTTAGGAAGCTCTGTTCCATTGGGTTTGAAAGTAGAGAAGAAGGTACCCTCGATCTCTAGACAATGCATCTGTTGATTAGAACATTCCTGTACCTTCTCTCAGCAAAAAGAAAAAAAAATTCATAAGGAATCTTTCTGAAAATTATTTAAGTCTTTCACTAAAAAAAAAAAAAAATCTTAGTAACTCAATCAACTTAATTTCGTTAACATTAAATGCTCAGTCAGCCACTGTTGTAGGTGCAGAAGTCCATCTGCCCGGGGTTCACAGTTCAGAAGTCTCTTACTAACAAACACACGTCAAGTTCTGAGCGTATTTCCAGTTCTGTTGATCATGAGCTTAATATTTTTGAATTAATCACTGAACTCAAAGGTTTCAATATTAATGTTTTATAGAGAGATTTCTCCTTCAGCACACATGGAAATAATATGCTTTTTCTTGTTAACCTGTACATTTATCACTTATCAGTACACAGGTTTTTATTTTAGTACTGAGAAGGTAATACTAAAGTAAACGGTCTTCACCCTGAAAATCATCAATTTTGTTGTCAACACACAATTCTAACAACCGAATCTTTGGAAATTCCTAATAGTCAAAATAACACCATAATATTAACTATTGCTAACAGCATCCAAAAGGAAAGAGGACAATTTCAAAATTTTAAATACCCTCTTTGACTATAAAGACTGCAGAGAAGAAACTAAAATGCAGTTGAAAATATAAGTCTCTGACTCAGAAAAGTTCAATAATTCTAAAATATCCAAAATAAGGTTGTTCTTCCAAGTAAGAATATAGAAGTAACCAAATATTCTTTCTTTAGCAAACAACCTAGAAAATTGTATAAAATCAGCTCCTGGAGGGAGAAAACAGCAAGCTCACAGTCTATGATAATGCACCTACTTACTACAAAACTTTCAACATTTTGGGCTCAATATTTTCTTGTTTTTAAAGTACTTCAACTTACACAGTCAGAACGTAGGCCTTAAAATCAGTAAAATGTCCATGGTAAATATAAGAATTAAAATCTGATACTGAGTAGGTTCATATGTCTTTACTTTTTTTTTTAATTTATTTTTTTTTGACAAGCGAATGAATCCTTTCTGAGTGATATAGTGAGATCTAATCCTTCTCCAAAAGACGACAAATTTATCATAAAGACAACTAAGTTTGTAGTCCAGAGTCAAGTATTTTCTAAAATGTTTAATAATTCAACGAATCCAACTATCCAAAGGGTACCTTTACCATTACGATTAGTTAAAGACCACAGAGATTAGAAAACACATTACCCATCTCAGAGGCAGTTCTTTCCATGTTACAAGTCCCTTAACGACCTTTACCATCTCTCCCTCCCTCCCACGCTCTCTCTCTTTTAATAAGGTTGAGCAAATGGGACTTCATTTTATCTGATTGCCACAGACTAGCAGGATTAATTATTCATGCTCACACTCTCCCTCTTGTTAAGGCCATGCATTAGACTAATTTTTTTCTTTATTGCCCTAGTTGGGTGAGTCTCAACCCACAGCTACTTGACTCATCCTCAGAGGTGTACAGATATGCTGAAAAGAAAAGCCCACCCATAGCTAAAATCTTGGAGAAACTATTCTGCGTGAATGTAACCACCAAATCAGTAGATGATATTGAGGATTTTTTCTTTTAAGGACCACGTGTATATTCAAGAAAAGAGTAAACGGTGATTACAGAGTAAATTTTTATAGGCATCAGATGCTTCTTTAAGAATTATTTAAAACAGCTAAACCAAGTTGAGACTGATTGCGTTTTACAAAGATAGTGCTAGTAAATGCAGTGTGTAGCCGAATGACACTGGGTGGTTTTCCTTTCTCTTTGGCTTCCAGGCAGTTAGTTCTACAAGGCAGTGGAGGAAGCAAGCACTGTCATAAAAAGGACTTTAGCAGAAGGTTCTGTATTTGTTTTTTTCCGTAGAGGTCTGAAAGTACTTCTATAAATTCTAGTCTTGGAATCTTAACGTCGAGTTCTGCCAATTATTTTGATTTCTCTGAAATCTGTGTCTCAAAGAGTCTTTGCTTTTTCCAATTTCCAATATAATACATCTTGCAGCAAATTCTAACATAATACAATTACATGAAAAACACAGTAGCCCTCTGTATATGCACTTCTCAGGAATAACCACTTTTCACATTTGGCATATATACCTCTAGACTTTGTTTGCACTTGACCTTAGCTAAAAGGCTGAGAAGTAATATTTCTAGACTTAGAAATTTCTAGACTTTTTTAATGCACATGCCTGTCGGTCACTCTCTCTATATGTCTGTGTGTACAAATTTTTCTTCTAAATAGGATTATTGTTTTACAACTCTTTTCCCTACATGTCAGTATCTATAGATATATGCTGTTCTTTTTAATGCCTGCATAGAATTTCTCTGAGGACATGCTGATGAATATTTGGGTTGTTTTTAATTTTTTAGACAAAATAAATAATGCTGTGATTCATTCAAGAGCCAGTTAGCAAATATTTATCAATCATCTTGCAGGCACGAGGCACCGGAATGGACGTGCAGGGGCAGGATGACGTGCAGGAGCCTCAGCCTGCTGCCAGCTGAAGGCGCTCGCCTCGTCACCAGCTGGGGCCCTACTGCCAGCTGTCCTGTTCCTCCAAACATGGGACTTGACTCTCTGAGGAGACCATAGCCATCTTCTAGCGGTGTCCTAGCAGCTGATGTCTTCAGCAGCAGGTGCAGCAGTCCAGAGTCAGAAGGGAGGCAGGCCCAACATCTGGGAAGCACCAGCAGCCGCCCTGGGGCAGGCAAGCCGTACCTCTTCCAGGAGTGACCTGCACTGGCTTTCCAGCCAAACCATGACAGGGAGGGTGGAGAGTCGGCGACTGTCCTCATAGTGGGGTGAGCTCAAGGCAGGCCAAATCCTTTACTCCTTCTGCAGAGCTAGATTTATTCGCATTGCAGACTGTTCTTAAATCTGAGACTGATACCACCTCATAATTAAACATGAACCACTTGCATGCAGAAATGGCCGTGAAGAGATTAAGGCCTTGCCATCCCAGAATTCTGGTCAGGTGTTGATGAATGGGGAAGGGAACTCCCTTTGTGTGTTCTCTTTAAGTTTTCCAAAATAGTGAGTCTTCTTCATACCCAAATATCTGCCACAGGCATGAAGCCAACAATAATAACAACCCGAACAGCTGGCTCACCCCTCAGGACCCAGAACTACCTCTCCAAAGAGGTCAGGAGTGGTTGAAGGCTTCCTTAAGAGACTACAGCATTTTAAAAGCTGTGTCAAGCCAGGTGCAGTGGCTCACGCCTGTAATTCCAGCACCCTGGGAGGCAGAGGTGAGAGGACTGCCTGAGCCCATGGGTTTGAGACCAGCCTGGGCAACTTGGTGGGACCTCATCTCTACACTAAATCAAAAAAATTAGCCGGGCACGGTGGCACATGTTTGTGGTTCTAGCTACTTGGAAGGCTGAGGCAGAAGGATCACCTGAGCCTAGCAAGTCAAGGTTGCAGTAGCCATGAGTGTGCCACTGCACTCCAGCCTGGGCAACATAGACTCTGACTCAAAAAAAAAAAAAACTGCCGGGCTCGGTGGCTCAGCCTGTAATCCCGCATCTTTGGGAGGCTGAGGTGAGTGGATTGCCTGAGCCCGCAGGTTTGAGACCCGTCTGGGCAGGCAAGATCTCATCTCTACAATAAAATAAAAAAATTAGCCAGGCGTGGCAGTGCACGCCTGTAATTCCGGCTACTTGGAAGGCTGAGGCGGAAGGATCGCCGGAGCCCAGCAGGTCGAGGCTG